GTCGTCGACCCGATTTCATTTTTTTTCTATTTTAAATAAAAATCCGATGAAATTATAATTAATTAATTTCCTTACTTTAAATTTCCATTTAAAAAAAAAAAAAAATATTCTCCATTATTATTAATATTATTATTATTATTACGCGCGTAAATGTTATCTGTACGAATTTTCAAATCCATTGTTCATTATATTATTATTATTATTATTTAAATAATAAAAAATAATAATAATATAAAAAATTTGTAATAAAATTTATTGATTCGAATTTTTTTTGCGTTCGTAAAAACAAAGATGGTGGAAAGTAAAAACTCGTGCGTGGAAATTTTATTTATTTTTAACGGTTTTTCACGGCGGCCATTTTGACAAGAAGACATTTTAACGTTTTTTTTTTTTTTCTTTTTGTTTACCGATCCCTTTAATTATGAAATAATAATAATGATGATAATTATTTTATCGTTAAAAATAATAATAATAATTTATCGAAATAAACGCGTATAATTCCCGCGCACGCACGCACTCGCACATTTAAATAAATGCGTAATTTTTTTTATTTTTTTTATTAAAGAGAAGGAGTAGTAGGGTAATTTTTTTTAATAATAATATTTATTAGGTAATAAATTTAAAAAATTATTTTTTCGACGTAAATTTCGGAAGGAAATAAATTATTAAACGTTAATAATATTTAATTATAAATAAAACTTGTCCTCATTGACTGACGACGACCGAAGGTTTTTTTTTTTTTTTTTAAAAAGAAATTTCGATTCGAATTTATTATCATTATTATTATTATTATTAATATTATATTTACGTGAAAATAATTAATTAATTTTTAATCGTTTGAATGTTGTTGTACGTGTGTGTGTGGTGACAAAACGTTCGTTTTTTTTTTTTTTTTGTTCAGCCTACTTTCACTCGTTTTTTTTTATTTTTCTTTTTTATGTACGCAACTTTTTAAACATTTTCTTTTTTTTTTTAAAGGTGACAAACAATCCGTCGTACAACCTGATTTATTATCATTATTATTATCATTATTATTATTTATATATTTTTTTTCTTTTGCAATTCTATTTAAATTAATAATTATGAATGCTCGGTTACAAATAAATAAATAAAAAAATTATTTTTTCGAATCTGTCAAAATGGAAAAACCGTCCCTCATTATTATTATTATTATGCATAAGAGACAAAAGGAAGTAATGTTGCCTGCCCTGGTTGCTAGCAAAACCATTTTCGATAGTTCGATAGTAATAATAATAATAATAATAGAATTTTGAATTTAAATTATTATTATTTATTTACATATATTTAATATTATGAATGGAAAATGTAAAAGAAAAACTTTTCTTTTTTTCTCTTTCTCTCTCTCTTTCTGATTTGATTACGTCATTTAAATAATAATAATAATAATGATTTTAATCACTCATTAATTGAGTTACAATTGTGGAAAATAAAAAAAATTTTTTTTTTTGACTTATTTTGGTTAAAAATAATTTACCAACCGTAAATTATAAAAAAAAAAAAATTTTTTTTCTCTCTCTCTCTCTCTCACAGACTTTAATTTATTTATTAAGGAAGAAGAATTACGTAAGTTAATTAGGAGGTATGGTTTAAGGTTCGGTGAATTTTTTTTCTTTTTTTTTCGTACAACAATTAACAAAAAAAAAAAAAAATAAAGTTGAAAAAAAAACATTTGTGCGAGAGAGAATGAAGGAAGCATGAAAGACTTTTTTTTATTTTTTGTAAGTTTGCGTAATTTTCTATTTTTTTTTCTTTCTTGTAATTTTACGAGTATTTTATCCGACCCTGATAAGATACAGAAAACAGTAAAGCTGACAGAAAAAAAAAGGTAATAAATAATAAAAAATTTTCTTTTGTTTTCACTCTCGGGATTATAACGTCATCAAAACTTTTATTAATCCACGTTCGATTTATTTAAGGGGATAAGTTTTAGTATTTAAGGTACGACATTTTGTCTTTTTTTTTTTTTTTAATTAATCAATAATCCAATCGATGAATTAATAATAATAATAATAATAAATGGAAATTGTAGAGAAAAAAAAAAGAACAAAACATTTTTTTTTTTTTTTTGTTATCGTCGTGTGTAACGAAACGTGAAAAATTTTTTCATTGGCACAATTTCTTTCTTATAATAGCAACAATGAATGGTGGTAGCAAGGAAAACATTTTGTAATTTGCAATTCATATTTTCATAACACAAAAAAAAAGAAAAAAAAGAAAAAAATCTTTTCAACTTCTTTTTCTTCTTCTTCTTTTGTTTCTTTTCAATACGCCATTTTATTTTGCGCTATCGACAAATAATTATTTTTCATTTATTTTCCTCCCCTTACTCCCTCCCCTCCTCCCTCCCTCTCCCGCCTTTTTCCCGTTGCAATTTCCACGTCAAGATAAAATTTAATATATATTAAATCGATTTTTTACGTTTAAAAAAAAAAAATCGAGTTCGCTCGATCGAAATTTTTTTTACCTTGCTCAAAAAAATTGCTTAAGGTGCTTTATTTTATTATTATTATTATTTTTTAATAGTTCATTGACAACGAAAATGGGCGTGTACGTGTCTGCTCGCGTGTGTGTGTGTGCGCGTATATGCGATTTGATCGTGCACTGCTTTATTTTGCTAAAAACTTTCATCATCATCATCATCATCGAAATTTTTGGGTCTCAGTTACATTTTTGCTATTTATGTATCATTTAAATAATGGGTTTAATAACTCCCGGGTACTAATAATAATAACAGCCTTAATGTCATTTAACCCAATAAAAAAAAAATGTCTGACTCTTGACTTTATTTAGAAGGTTAATTATTAAATAAAAAGTTTTATATATTAAATATATACCTGGTTACATTAAAATAAGGCGGGGGAGGGGGGGTACCGGTGGTAAAAAGTGTCACGATAAAGACCAAACGTGTTATTATCACTTTTCCCTTACCTTAAAACGTTACGCACGCGCACGCACACACACGTTTAAACTACATAATACAATTTTCTAGAGACGTATTAATAAAATAATTCATTTTTTTTTACTGGAAAATTCCAAAAAAAAAAAATTTTATTACATTGACCCGTAATTTTTTTTTTAATTTTCCAGGCGACGCATAAAATCAAATAAATAATAATAATAATAATAATAATAATAATAATAATAATAATAATAATAATGTAAAACAACGTGTAACCTTACAGTTAGAAATAATTTTAAATGGTGATAATAATAATTTCGGGTTTTTTTTATTTATTATTATTACGAAGTGTTGGGGAAAAAAAAATTTTTTTGTATTATTATAAAAATAATGAATGATTGATTGATTGATTGAATGAATTTAATAATTTTAAAAATACATTTATGGAATCTAATGTACATAAATCCTCGTTTATAAAATTCGAAATTTTGTAATTCGCGATTGAGAATACGCAATAGGTCGATACCTAAACGACAAGGATAACCCAAAAAAAATATATATATATTAATGAACCGGGGTGATAATAATAATAATAAACTGGTCTCTTGTCGAATGACTGACTGACTGACTGACTGATTGAATAATAATAATATTTTTTTTTTTAAGAGTTAATCTTTTGATTCGTTTCATTGCATTCTCATTTTGAAAAATCACGAAGTCATTTAAAAATTTTTTTTTTTTTAAATTTATTATCATTATTATTATTTCGTGTTGTTGTCGTTGTGAAATATGTACAAAAAAAAGCAAAGTTTGATGAGGTGGAATAATTTTATTTTAGATGTAATTATTCGTGATTCGATAATAGAAAATAAAGAAAAAACTAAAAATTATTGGGAGCAATTAATGATGGCGGCAGCGGCAGCAGCAGCATCAGAAACTAACGGAAACATGAGAGTTTGGGATTCTAATAATGATCCTCCGGCAATTTCACCAACCAATACAACCAGGTAAATCATCATTATCATTATCATTATTTATTTATTTTACTTTCGCGATTGAATAAAATCGTATTCATGAATTTTTTGTAAAATTGAAAAATCAAAAAATAACTTTCGTTTGTTTTTTTTTATTTTTGGCGTTAAATTTATTTTTTGATTTTTACGATAATTTAATAATAATGATAATAATAATAATAAGTGAAAGTTTTGGCAGAGGTTTTTATTTATTTATTTATTTATTTTAATAAAAATCGATTTTACATAATTTAACAACAAGTTGTTAACATCTCCTCCTGATTTAATATAAAAAACAACAAAAAAAAATCTTTCTCGTAATAATTTTAATTGATTATTATCATCATCATCATCATCATCATCATCATTAAAATAAATTATGATTTTTAATGGTTTTACGGTTTTAATTTTTTTCCCCCTTTTTTTTACGTAAGATTTTTTTTTATTTATTTTAAATTAAATAAATAAATAAATTTATTAAACTTCTTGTTGCCTTATTTTCACTTTTAAATACTAATAAACTGCATTTAAAAAAGAAGAAAAGGGAGGAAAATTATATGAATTGAAAACATTGCGGTTGTTGCATTGTAAAAACCAAGACTATATACAAAAATGTATGTAATTTTTTTAACCACCCATGTGCGAAAATTTTTTTAACGATAATAATAATAATAATAATAATAATAATTTTATATATATGTTGTGCCATTAGAGAAGAAAGCGGATGTTAAAGTCGTAAAACGTTCATTTAAAAATTTTTTTTTTCTTCTTCTTTTTCCACTTTGAATGAGGAAGGAATGAAGACGATGATGATCCTATTATTATTATTATTATTACATTTGTTTTCAAATAACTTTTCGAATGTTGTAAATTAATTATGTTTATTATTATTATCATAATCTCGTATTTTTTTATTTTTTAGAAATTTTAAAAATACTTTTTGCGGATCGATAAATTCATTGAATTGCAATACAAATACCCACGATAATTACATCGATAATGATGATGATGATAATGTTGAAATGATAAAAAATAAAATTCGAAATTGTGACGTCACATTTAATAATATGTTATCGATGGAAGATAGGATAGCGTTGGAACTTCAAGAGCAAAAAGAAAGAGAAGAAGAATTGAGAAGACTTAGAAAACAATTATCATACGAAAACAGGTATGTTTAAATACCTTATTTATTTATTTATTTATTTAAAGTGAAAGCAATGAGTATGTGCGTGTGTGCGTTGTTCTCTTTCACGCTATATCTATCTACATGTAAATTTTAAAATTTTAATAATATTTAATTAATATTAAATTAATAATAATAATAAAATTGAATCGATCGGATTTTTTTTCTCTCTTTCTCTCTCTCTCTCTCTCCGTGAAGTTTAAATTTTACGGTCTAAAAAATTATTAAAACCTTGAGTTGAGTTGATATTTTTTTTCTTTTTCCGCTTATTATTATTATTATTAAAATTTTTTTTTTTTTTACGAACATTGACTCGTGAAATGATTGTCGGATTTTTTATTTTTTTTTTAGCAAAGATTTATGTTCATCAACAAAAGATAACGGAAACGTATCCGAAGACATGTGTAGCATACACACAAATGATGACAGTACTTATTCCGAGTACGGTAGCGAAGAAAAAGAACATAGTTTGGACGGAAATAACAGGTATGATAAATTTAAATTATTATTTGTGTCCACCATCTTGAAAATAATATCTCTGTGAATTTTTTTTTGGTTTTGTCGTAAACAGTAGAGTAAACACGCCTCATTCAGAGGATTTCATACATAGAAGAACTCGATCATTGGATTCCGTTAGTTCTGGACACAGTTCAGGAAGCGGTTCGACATTAAATGATAAAGATCGGGGGGATTCATCACATAGGAAAAAAATAAGTGTGAGACCTTATGAAGATCCACAGGAAGATGAAGATCATTCATGCTTACCCGCTTACAAGAGGTTAATAAATATTTATATAACATACAAGAGGTTAATTTAAATCCGTAATAACGGTAAATTTTTTTTTAATTTTTTTTTTTTTTGTTTCAGAATGGAAAATGAAACACCCATTGAAAGAGAAATACGTATGGCCAAAGAACGTGAAGAAGAATTAAGAAAAGAAAAAGGTATCGTTGTTGTTCGCGGTGATGCAAAAATAGAATCATTTAAGGTAACAGGTTTACACGTGAACGAATTTTTATTGTTAAAAATTGAATTGTTTAAAAAAAAAGAAATTTTAATTCAGATTCCAAAAAATTTAAATAAAAAAGATGCTGTTGAAAACGATACGAGAGACGTACAACATAGAATCGCAACGAATAGAATCCAACAGGAAATTGAAGAAGCCAACGAGAGAGAAAACGAATTGAGAACGGAGGGTAAAATATTGACAACATCCGAAGAAAGAGTCGATGCAAAGGTATTATTATTATTATTATTACGAAACGGAAAAAATAAAAAAATTCAATTAAAATTCTGAATCATTTAAAAATTTTATGTGTCAGGTGACTAGATTTACGCAGTTGGCAGAATTTGCCATATTAGAAAATCGCCATAAAGATTCTAGAATGAAAAGATCATTATCGGTTTCAACGTTACAAGTTTCCGATGAGGGAAATAATAAAAATAAAATTAATTCCGCTATCAAAACTCCATCATCATCATCATCATCATCATTATTATCAAATAGAAGAAGATATGCGCCAAACCCTGCTCAAAAAGGTATTTTTACGGTCGTTTAAAATTTAAATAAAGAAGAAGAAAAAAATACTTATAAAGTCATTTTACTTTACTTGTTCAGGAATAATGCAACGTTTTATTGCCACCAAAGGTAAAATACCATTTGGGTCGGTTAATTCAGAATCGCATATCATGGGAAATGATAAAAATATTCGACGGGGCCCAATAGGACGTTCCATAACAGGTATCGATTCGAGTGCTTTGATAAGAAAAGGTTACGTGCCTGCTGGAGAAAAAATACAAGAAGAATTAAAAGAAATGGAAAAAAGAGAAGAAGAATTAAGGTTCGTTTCCGGTTTGTTTATCGCGAAAGAAATCAAGCCCGTTAATTAATTTTGATTTATTTTTTTCTTATGGACAGATTACAACGTGCTCATAATCCGGTTGGTCCAGCATCATTTTTTCACAGATCCCAACCGAATCTTCTTAATATTTCTGACGAAGAAGGTGGTGATGATGATGATGATGGTGAACTTCACAGTTGGACGAGTCACAAACAACATAAAAAACCAAGTTTGCGTTTGTCTCATTCAGTATCGAATCCAAATTTGTTAGATGACGACTGTTTAGAAAGAGTAGGAAATAAAATTTTTTTTTACTTCTTCCATAATAAATAATGGCTACTATTTAAACTTATGAAGAAAATTTTTTTTCTTCTTTTAGGTAAATATTAGAATGCCGAATAAAAGATTTTCACTTTTGCAACAATGGGAAGATAGAATACAAAGTGCTCAATAATAATAATAATAATTTTTACGTTTTTATTACACGTTTTTATCGAAAAAATAAAATACCAAAGAGATAGATAGTGTCAACATAAATTAGACATTATAAAAGTCTAATGAAAAATATAAAAAAATCATTTTCCGTTTGTTTCAATTATTATTATTATTATTATCTATAATTTTTATTATTCGCAATTATATATATATTTTTTCTAATCAAAATTATTATTATTATTTTTAAATGTAAATATTTTATAAAGAAAAAGGAGAAAAAAAGAGAAAAAAAAAATTATTTTTTTTATAAAAATTAATTAATTTTATTTAGTCTTGTGTGTAATTATAATAATAATAATAATAATGATAATGAATCGGTGCAATATTTAAATAAATGTTGTTTGCAATTTATACGAATCAATTAATTTTTTTTAATTAAATATCGCTGCTGCTATTATTATTCATTTAATTAATAATTTTTTTTGTTGTTGTTGTTGTTGTTGTCGTTTGTATTATTAAAGGATAAAAAAATTTATGTAATAAAATAAATAAAATAAGTTAATTTTAAAAAATATTTATTTACATAATATTTTACTAAACAATTGACTAAGCAGAAACTTCAAAATGAGAATTAATTTTTTCTAATAAATCAGTTGCTATTGATGCAAATTCTTCCCATGCAGCGTCTCCATCGTTCCATTTTTCTTCTTCTGTGAAAAAAAGAAAAGAAAATTTTTTAATTAAATATAATTGTTGATATTCGAGTGAGTGTGTAAGTAATAATTACCTAATGAATTAGCTAATATATTAAGCAATCTTTCCATATTATTGTGCATGGCTGCGGAAGACACATCAGCACAAGAATTCCAAATGGCTCTTCCTGCTAAACTCGCAAGTGACCAATCGTTAGAAAATAATTCAATGGCGTCAATCAATCTGAAAATAAAATTAAATTATAAGAAAAAAAAAAAAAAATTTTTGTTCGTAATTTAATTTTATCCATACACTTACTTATCGATTCCTTTCGAAATCAAAAATTGTTTTCTACCTTGAGAATCGAGTAACATGTTAACTAAGGCTCCACAAGCACATCTTACAACTTCTTGGTTTTCACTGCTTACCAAGTTAATCAACTGATTGACTCCTATTACAAAAATTTTAACGAATTAATAAACTGTTTTCCTTAAAGAATTTAAATTTACTTGATCCATGTCCCCATGGTCAGCAGGGTAAACAATCATAAATTTTTTGGGTTGGTAACAACAAAGTAATTACGAATTTTTTTTAAAGGAAAAACGACCATTTATTAATTATGTCAAATTATTTTTATCATATAATATTATGTTCATTATTATCGATGACCTTTTGACATTTTTCAGGTAGTATCATTATCCCATGTTTCATAAAACTCTTTATTTTTAAGAGCAAAAAAAACTGCTCCAATGCAGATTTGTTTGACCTCATTGTCGTTTTAAAATTTTTTTCCGTTCAAAAAATTTTTTAGTATTCGGAAAAAATGATACTTTGAGCTAGGTTGGGACTATGCGTGGGGAGGACGCTCAGGTATCTGGGGGTCACCTTCGACTCGGGTCTCACTTTCGGGCAACACCTCGCGCTCCTCGGACCGAAGATCCGAGCCGTGAGCGCATCGTTAGGGCGCCTGATGCCGAACCTGCGGGGTCCCCGGGCGAAGGTCAGGCGATTGTACGCGACGGTCGTTCACTCCGTGGCCCTGTACGGAGCACCGGTGAGAGCCGAATCGGTGGCGGCATCGCGGCCGCTTCGCGAGAGGGCGATCCAACTCCAAAAGGCGTCTCTGAACAAGGTGGCGACGGCGTACAGGGACGTCGCGGCGGAGGTGGCTTGCCTTCTGTCGGGAACTCCCCCGCTCGATCTCCTCGAGGTCGAGACTCGTCCTCTACCGCGAGCTGGGTCGCGGCGGGCCGAGGAGAGCCCGATTCCGCAGGGAACTTCGCGTTCGCACGGTCCGAGCGTGGCAGGCGCGGTTCGTCGACGGGCGCAGGCGCTACGGGGGGGAAATAATCGAAGTTCTTGGTCCCCGAGTGGGGGGCTGGGTGAGGCGGGTCACGGAAACCTGACCTATCGTTTCGTTCAGATCCTCACGGGCCACGGAGTGTTCGGCTCGTATTTGGCGCGCATCGGCAGAGAAGCGACGACGGAGAGTTGGTTCTGCGGTGCGCCCGAGGACAACGTCGAGCACACGGTCGCGAAATGTCCCGCGTGGGACGATCACAGGCAGCGGCTGATCGGCGTCATCGGACCCGACTTGTCGATTCACGGCCTCGTGAATGCGTTACTTCGCGGACCCCGGGAATGGTCCGCCGTTTCGCAATTTTCGGAAGTGGTCCTGCGGGCGAAAGAGGACCGCGAACGCGAGCGCGAAAAGTCCGGAGTTCGTCGTCGTATGCTTCGGACGAGTAGGTTTAAGGATAGGTTAACAAATAGGATTAAGGCTAGGTCTAAGGTTAGGTTAAGGTCTATAAATCCCGCTGATGAAGAAGGCGAGGAAGAGGAAGAAGAGGAGTCGGAAGGAGCGGTTCCGGACCTTCGTCATCGGCCGAGGGAGATGAAACGTCGTCGTCGGAACAAGGAGGAGGATGAAGATGAGAATGAAGATGATGACGACGACGTCTTCGATTATCGAGGTGCGGCGACAAACGAAAGCTTCGTCGTCGATGAGTCTTCTTTAAAATTTCTTGGAGACCGGCGGTCCCGGTCGATCTCCTCTATCTGTCTTGCCCCCCCATTTTGTCCTCATAACTCGTTAGGAGAGAATGCGGTCAACAAACGTCTTCACTTTCTTCTTTAATTTACCCCCCTTAAATTCAGGTGGCGAAGTTTTAGTCTGAATCCTCCCTCCCGACCGCATTCTCTGAAAGCAGGCGATCTTTCCGTCCCCATTCCCCCCCGGCGAAGAGCCGGAGGACACTCCCGAAAGGGACTACCGAACGTCCTGGGAGATGCGTCTTGCATCAGGGGACAAACGTCCCCCTTCTCTTCACATAAGCCACGCTATTGCGACATGCCCAGGAGTTTTAGTGGGTATAAGTTCCCGGTTAGGCTTTCTTTAAATCCATACCGAGTTTCACAATCCCTCCGTAAAAAGGAGGGGCCAGTGCGTAACCGCATTTCCCCGGGGTCAAAAAAAAAAAAAGGATGGGACTATGAGATCGCGTCGATTTAGAGAAACTAGAATCGACTCCCTTAGGATCCGTCCGTCCGCAAACGGGAGGAGGGTTCTCGAGATTAAGGGGGGAAACAGGGCAGCCAAGGCGGCGGAGCTGGCCGCGAAGCTCTCGAAGGTCGTGGGGCCGATGGAAGTCCCAGCGACGTGCCCCGCGAGAAGGGTCGACCTCCACGTCGAGAGTCCTGCGAGTCCGCGACGTCGCACGACGTCGCGTTTTCTAGGGCAGGCGGATGTCCTATGTCGGGCGTTTTGGTCCGTCCTTCGATCGGAGGGGGCGCGCGGCCGCCGCGTCCGTTCTCCTAGAAGCGGACAAGGTGACCGTCGGAAGAGTTAGAGCGCGGGTGGTTCTTCCGCCGAAGCGGAAGGACTTGTGCTTCAGGTGTCTGAATCCCGGTCACCTGGACGCGCGGTGTCCCAAATTCGAGGTGAGGGTCGAGGGAGCGCAAGAGCGTTGCTTCAGGTGGGGAGCGGCAGGGCACCGGGTGCATGACTGCGCGAAATCCATTCGTTGCGCTCCACAACTCCATTCGTGCGGGGTCGACGCCGTCATGATTTCGGAACCTTACGCCGTTCCGAAAAGGGGGGAAAGCCGTGACGGTTCTTGGTTCGGATCCGAGGACGGTGCGGCCGCGATACTATTCTCGAACTCGGTTCGGACGCCGAGGCCTCGAGAGCTGTCCCGGGGGGAGAGGGTTCGTTCTGGTCGGATGGGGAAACGCGGTTCTGGTGTCTGCTTACGCGTCGCCGAATCGTTCCGTCAGCCAGTTCGAAAATTTTTTTTGGGAGATCGATCGGTTCGGGGAGGAGTCCCGTTCCACTCTCGTCTGCGGTGACTTCAACGCAAAACATGTTTCGTGGTCGGGATACGCGAACAACGCGCGCGGTCGACTCCTCAAGGAGTGGTTCGATTCGCGCCATTTCGCCGTGCGTAATGTAAGAGGGGCTAAAACTTGCGTGCGGGCTACCGGCGAGTCCGCGACCGATCTCACGGTTTTTCTTCCGTCACGGCCGCGGCGTGGGTTTCCGGCTGGGAGGTCGTTTCCGGTTTCGAGTCCCTGAGCGATCACGCCTACCTGGCGTTCTCGTTCGGGGCTCCTCGGAGTTCAAGGGGGGCTGCCTCTCGGTCCGGCAGGCCTCGCGTCGTCGTTCCGCCCCGGCGGAGCCTGCGGTCGATGGACAAAGAGCGGCTCGTCGAGTGTCTCGCCGTGGAGTCGTGGCTAAGAGCCAATTTTGATTTGGGAACAAATAACGCCGGCGAGATGGCGCGGAGGAT